GACGAGGCGCTGAGAGAACCGTAGACCCCGACGTGAGAGGCAGTGATGGAGGCTAGAAGAGACAGGGAGAGCAAGAGGCCACGGAGGTGGGCTCTGTCAAGGAGATGCCCAGGGCCGAGGGATGGAGACTGCAGGAACTGGGAGGGACAGGACCCTGAGGATGAAGGAAGACAGGAGACAAAGAGAGGGAGGGAGGGTTGAGGGGATACTGCGGGGAGGGGACAGGCCTGGGAGCAACTAACTAGCCGGTAGGATGGGGAGTCGGCGGGAGGGTCAGGTGGGAGGCCTGTCTGTCTGTCCAGTGGCCAGCCGCCGCCAACCCCCAGCAGGCCGGCGGATAAGGACATCGGCCTCACGTCATAAATAACGCCGGGGACCTGCTGACAGGCCCTGGCACGGCCCCGGCCCCCACAGCCCTTGCGGCCTCCCCCGGCCTCCCCAGCCTCCCCAGCGGACACAACCGCCTGCTGGCTCCCGTGCAAGAATCGCAGGTGCTGGGCACGAGTAGGGGCCAAGGCTCAGGCCCCTCCCGGCAATGTTAGCTCCCTCCCACCCCCGAACCTGGAGGGGCCCGGCTGGGGGCTGGGAACTAGCTGGAGCCAGTCTCCGACCCTCCCAGGCTCTGGCACCCTCTCTGGGCCCTGGTTTCCCTATCATCCCCCATGGGGCGGGATTTCCAGCAGATGGAGTGCAGATCCATGTGTGACTATGGGGACTGGCGAACCCTCCTCAGTGTCCTCACCTGAGAAAAGGGGATCTCCTGGGGGTAAAATCATTGGGGGGGGGGAGTTGGGAATAGGTGCCCCAGTAATCACCATGTAGACACATAGGTGGCACCCACCATGAGGACACTCTACCTGAATTATCTCATCTACCCTACACAACCACCTGGGGCAGTTCCCCACTTCTCAGATGGAGAAACTAAGGCCTAGTAACAAGATTTAGCACCACGTCACGAAGAGAATGCACAGAAGGCAAGGGGTGTCAGACCCAAGCCCCTAACCATTCTAATTCACCTGCCTTGACCAGAAAGAGAAACCGAGGCCCATCAGAGGGAGACTTGGCCTTAATAGGGCTCAGAAGCAGGGGTCTCAAATTTGCCCTTAGGACATGGTGCAGGAGTATAGGTGGGGGGGATCATCTAGATTGGGGTGGGGCTATTGGAGAGAGGACCCTTCATGAGGAGGTGACCTTTGCTAATAAGGGACTACGTCCTGTTATATTTTCTAGAGAATTACTTTTTCTTGGGAATCTAGAATATTTGTATAAAAACTTCCTTTCCTGTTTTTAAATATGTGCAAGCAGGTCAAAATTTTTTTTAATGACAGGCCAACATAAATAGGTCTTGGGCCTATATTTGGTCTGCAGGGGCCGCGGGTTTGAGACCTTTGCTCTCTTGGCAAGAAATAGGAAATCAAGGCTGTTTTGGGGACTGGTTCCTGGACCACCCAGACCCATTGGGGTGCTCACCACTTCGGGGTGTTGAGGCAGCGGTGGGGTGGCTCCATTCACTCCAGATCCCAGCCTTTTTGGAGCCGTAGATGCCAAAGGGGTTGCAGCGCACTTGCACGAAGTACACGGTGCCTGGCTTCAGGCCAGCCAGGCGGCATGAGGTCTGGTTGCTCACGTCGTCCACCACCTGAGCAGCAAGGGCTGGGTCAGAGGCCATTCAGAGCTAGGCGGGGGGTGGGTGACAGGGGTGGGCACCTTCCAATCCACGCTGTCCTCCACACGGTAGCGGATCTGGTACTTGGCTTGGAAGAGGAAGTCTTTGAGAGCGGGTGGTGAAACCCAGCGCACACTCAGCTGGTCCTCCAGGCCCCCAACTCGGCTCACGTGCACATCCGGTGGGGGATCAGTGGTCACTGTGAGGCAGGGACAGGCATAGTCACAGGCCTCTCCTGGGACCTGAATGGCCCCTGTCTGTATTCAAATCCCAAGGCACAGGTGGCACCTGCCTCATTCTTCCCCCTTTCTATGCCCCAGGAGGGTGGATTACATTAAATATATGAGGAAGAATCAGCATGTAGAAGCTTTCAATTCATGTGAGCTGTTTTCACCATTATTATCTGTCACAGGAGATTCACAATCTTGACTTCAGGGGGCTATTAAAAAGGAGACAACGACTAGCCCAGGGTATTATTATTATGCCAAGGAGCCTAGGCCCCCAGGCCCCTGGGGAACTCCTTTGCCCCCCTGTCCACCTTCAATGCCTTGTTACTTGATGAGTTCTTAAATATGACAGCTTTGTGGACTGCCCAATGACAGCTAAGGCTTAGAACATGCACACTGTAGCTTCAGAATTTAAGGAGCAAAGTGGGAAGCAAATGGGTGAGGAGTGACCCCAAACATCCCAGGGGTCCTTCTAGGAGCCCTGTGGGCAGCAGGAAGGACTGGGCACTCCCCCTGAGGCCTTAGTGAGGGGCTGAAAGGGTTAAGGCACAGGCTTGCTTGGGGCTGAGAAACACCCTAATTAGATTAGGCCCAATTCTGCTCACAGATCATCCATTTCCTGCCTCCTGCCTGCAACCCGCACCCCCCTCCCCACCAGCTCCAGGCCGCAGCTTCCTGGGGCGCCTCCCGACCTGGGCGACTCCTTCTAGCTCCCCCAGGGGCCCCCTCCAGCACACCTGGGCCACTGAGGGGGCGGCAGCCAGACCAGGTGTTTTCCATAGAGTGGGGGTGTCCTGGCTTCTTCAGGGGACTGGGGACCTATGGTGCATGCCCCACCCCAATCACAAGGTTGGATCTGGAGCTGCAGTCAAGGCTGGGTAGAGGGGGTAGGACCCTCCGTGTAGGACAGACAAATGGGGGGGCCCTTCAGGATGTCAGGGAGATTTTGGGGGGGACCTCACCCACATCTAGGATGTCCAGTGTGAGCACATCGGAGCGGGCTGATCCCAGTCGGTTGGTGGCTTCAACCCAGATCTCATAGGGCGTAAAAAGAGCCAGGTCCTTGGGGATGTGGCAGGAGTGAGGTCCCACTGTGTGGTACTCCTCACACGTGTTGTCCTGCCCGTACCACCTGCAGGGTAGGAGGGTTGCCAGGACACATGAGGCTGCTCCCCCTTTGGGCTCTCAGACCTCCCCAAGGTAGTCCCAGAATGGGGATGGGACATGGGCTTGGAGAGGGCAGGCTTGGCCAAGACCACACTGCCAGGCTGGAACACAGGACACCACCAACCTCAGCTTGTACTTGAGGGAGTAGTTGGTATGAAGGAAAGTCTCCCCATGGGCTCCCGGCGTCCAGCGGCAGGTCAGGTCCTTCATGTTCTTGGACCAGCAGCTGATGTTGAAGGGTTTCTCTGGGGGCACTGGGGAAGGGCACAGGGAGCTAAGGGTCTAGACTGACTGTGGACAGGTAGAGAAGCTGCTGGCCACCAGTCAGATCCCCACCTTGGCATGGAAAGAGGGTAGACAGAGTCGATGTTGACATAACCTCCTGCCTGGGTTCTCGAGGATGCTGAGTTGGGACTCCAGGCGCTCAGTCCCACCCCCAAAGCTACTTGTCCTCAATTTGTGACAGTGTGCCCACTGTCCAGTCCCGTGAGGAAGGGTTCATGATTCATGCCCCCTCTCTAGAGCGGGATACTGCTCCCAAAAGCCACCCCTGGGTGTCCTGGGGCCACTTACGGCCAACATAGAGGCAGGAGCCAGCCAGGATGCTGCCGTCGCGGGCATGGCACACGAGGTTGTCCCCTGACTGCTGCCTGGATCCGTTGAGGTTGGCCAGGGCAAGGGCCAGGGTGGAGGCGTTGAGCACACGGGAGAACTCAGGGGGTAGCCGGCGCCCGTTGAGGGTCCAGTAGAGGCCCTCGGCAGTGGCCCCAGGCTGGTCCCCGTGCACTGAGCACGTGGCCTGCAGGGAGGAGCCAATGAGGAGCGTGGGGTCCTGGGGGCTGATCACAGCTGTGTCTGGGGTCAGAAAGGAGCACTGTCAGGCCAAGATTAAGCAGCCCTGAGTCCCCCACCATACCGAGACCTCCAGGGCTGTTTATTATGGTTCCCCCACTTTACAGATAAGAAAATTGAGGCTCAAGTGACTGCTCCAAGATTCGTGGTAGTGATGCCGAGGCTTACTCCCAAGTCTGTATGATTCCATTCAAGCCATGTTATCCCTGGCTTGCTTGGGGCTCTCGGAGCAAGACTCAAGCATAAGCGCTTGCTCAGGTCCAAGTCACTCCTGCTTTGCACATAGTTCTGACAATCACTGCATTCTGCTTTTTCATTTGTTTTATTTTTAATCATTAGAAATAAGAGCATGAATTCTCCCTCTGACACCTGAGAGGTTAGGTGTCTTGTCGAGGTGCCCTTACCCTATTTGAGTCCTGCTTATTTGATTGATGAAAACACCAGAGCTTTAAGAGGCCAAGTCCCTGGGAATTAGGGATACTATTAAATCCAGATTTATAACTGTCCAAGTTCCTCTGTTACGCCCTGAGCTGAAGGTGACTGTGGCAAGTTTTAGCCTTCCAACTCCCATCCAAATGTACTTTGACATCGTGGCATGTCCCCTTGACTCAGTTTCCCTAATCTGTAAACTGGAAGAGAGACTCAGTCCTTGGGGCCATTGTGAAGTTCAAGTCCTGGGAAGTGTCTTTCTAAATCAGATTATGTGTGATTTAGGTTGTAGGCATATGGGTCTGAGACACTGATACCTCCCTTCATTGCTGTTGTTACTGTAATCCATGACTTAGAGTCTTAGAGGAGCCTGTTTTACGACAGGAAAATGGAGGCTCAGTGAAGGGAGAGTAGATGTCCCTTTCAAGTCCCTGACTCTTCTCTGAGTCTCAGTCTTCTCATCTGGGAAGTGGGTACATGGTACCAACCACATGGGTTTTTTGCAAGGGGTGAAAGTATGGTCTTAGGAAAACTTTGTGGGAGATTTAAGCCAGGATGACTTGGGTTCAAAAGTCTGCAGCTTGTTGTGGAAGCTTGGCACACTCCAATTCTCTGGACCTCTGGGAATGGACCTTTCCCTCCAAGAGCAGCTGTAGTTCATTCATTCACAGAGCATCTATAGTGTGCCAGGAACTGGGGTTACAACATGACAAAGACATACAAACTTCCCATTTATAGGCCATGAACACAAGGGAGAAGCAGAAAAAGAATGTAAGAATAAATTCAGGGAGACAGTAAAGTCTTGGTTCATGGTGGTGGCTCAATGGCCTAAGAGGCCTGTCTTGAAGGTGGCCTTTGAGATGAGACCTGAATAAAGAGAAAGAAGTGGTTATGGCAATATAAAGGAGTGTCTAGCCAGTGGAAGTTGCACATGCAAAGGTCCTGGGGCAGATGTGATTGAGAAAGTGTCTAGGCCAGCAGGGGCCTATCTCAGGGAGGCATTGTTCCAGGCTTCTGCACAGGGGAGGGATTTGCATGTTAAAAGGATCCCCAGGCAGCTGTAATAAGGTACAGTGGGGGGTGGGGCAAGGGGAGGAGTGAGGAGAAAAGAAACCCAGCTTTGCTGAGATGGCAGCCAAGGAGAGGGTGATCCTGGCCCCCTGGGAGGCCCCCTAAATACCAGCGGCTATCCTATGCTGGCTCTCACAGCCCCAGATGGGCGACGTGGGGTGAACACGGCTCCTGAGCCCAGCCCTGACCATTTTCCGGGGCAAACTTGGCCATGTCTCGCTGGAGCATGGGATCAGAGCTGCGTTTGGGGCTTGGCCCAGGGCTCGCCGGAGGTCTCAGCGTCCGTGCGAAGGAGCGGGCCAGAGCTGAGGAGGCGGGGGCGGCCGGGGGCGGGGGGCCAGGGGGCCGCCCCGGAGGTCCCAGGCAGCCAGCCGCCCGCTAATTCGGAATTCCTTCGGCATGAACTCGGGCGTGCCAGCGTTTCTGCCCCGGCCCACCCACCGCTTCCTGCTTTGGCCCCCCCCACCCCCAGCAGGGTGGGAGGCACAACCAGGCTTGCCCAGACCCCAGGCCCACTCTCAACCCTCCAGGGTGGGTCACCTCTCTTGCCCCCCACCCACTGTCATTGCCTGGTCAGGAAGGGGCTCTCTGGGGGGTCCTGGCTGGGGGGGCACTGCCCCTCTGCCATAACTGCTTGGCCGGGGTTGGCGTGGCCTGCCTGCCAACAGCTGCAGCTGCCCTCCCAGGGCTGGGCGGGGGACAGGGCGCGATGGCAAGGCCAGACGGGCCTGGACAGGCCAATCCCCCCATCCCAAGCTCCAACTGGAAAGGTCAGAAGGAGGCTTTCTTCTCCCAGGATGTGGCTGCCAATCTCAGCTGGAGCACCTGGGCAACTGGCTGCCCCTGTCCAGCTCAGTTTTCTCTTCTATAAAATGGGAGGACAATCCGTCCATCCTACCTGCTGGGGAGATTAGTCAGATAAGATCCAGAGGGTTCAGCAAGGCACAAGGCCTACAAACTGTTTAGGATCATGATCCCTCAGTCTCGGGGTCCTAGCTAGCTCAGCACTCCTGCCAGGCCTCCCCAAACAATGAGCCGCAGGGCTGGGAACTGGGATGTGTACAGTCCAGCCCAGGCAAAACAGCTGGTTACAGCCCACTGAGGTTGTGGGAGGGCTCTTGGGGTGGTTCAGGGGGCTCATAGATGGCTCCCCAAAGCATATCTCTGGTCTGCACTGGAGCCTCCCCCCCATGCCTTCCCTGCAGAGCAGGGGCCTTTAAAAGTTTTCCCTTCCCCTTTTCCCCAATCTGGAGCCACCGCCGTTATTAAAAAGGAACACCATGTGTTTTAAAAGGGAAAAGTGTGAGATCCTCTGCTAGTGAGGCAGGAGGGTGGCCTCCATCCCTGGGTCCCCATGGGGTTCCCGTCTCCCGTCTTGCTGGTACCTGCAGACACTTTACGACCCACCAGCCTGCTGCTCAGGTGCTAAGACACACCATAAGTAGAAACATATTGCAGAGGTGTGAGAATCTTTTATTTAATTTCTTCCCCCTAAAGGAAAAAGCACACGCACAGCACCACCCCCCCTCCACCTTCGCCTGCTTCTTTAAGGACTGGGAAACAAAGCCTGCCACTCACAATGGCACTACGGTCACTGCCACTGCCAGGCAGGGCATCAGGGACTCTCAGAGAGTCCCGGACAGTCCCTCACCTGCCCAAGTACCGTGAACAGCCTGGACTTTTGGCCAGTGCCCCCCAGGAGATTCCTAGACATTACCCTCCCTGAGGAGCTCCCGATGGAGCTGGCAGCAGTTCTGTGCCTGTGGGACAGCCTGGGGAGCAGATCGTGCCCATTCTGGGGGGACCTGTGCTTGCATGGAGCTCCTTAATGATTGCGAACGTCCAGGGCGTGCTGTGCCTGCGAGCGTGCCCCTGTGTTGCCTCCCCCATGGAATGAGTGTGAGACCATGAATGTGTGTGTGTGTCAGGGATGGAATGTGTATATGCGCGCCCCGATGGTGTGCGAACGTGCATCTGGGATGCAGTGTGCGCGCCTCTGAGGGCGAGGGTGACGGGCCACAAGCCAGTGTGAGTCTTTGTGTGTCTCTGGGTGTGTCCCGGAGCCGGTCTGGATGTAGAGATGGTGTCCTGGCGAGGGTATGCTTTGGGTGGGGGGACCTAGAGTGCCTGAGGCCAGGAGCTCCTGACAGGGCAGGGGTCTCAGCCAGCTCAACTGTGAGTTCCCAGCGGGGTCCCCACCCCCACCCCTCCTGGTGCCCGAGTTCGCAGGCTCCCGCTACCTCTCCCTCTCACCCACTCGCTCACAAAGATTTCTTTCGCTGGAGGCTCGCAGTCCGGCACATCCTGGCCCGGAACGCTTCCAATAGCCGCCAGTGGTGGGGACTCCTCGGACCCCCGCGTGCGGGGTCCCGCAGGGGGAGGGCGGCGGCGCCGACC